CGGGGCTACCCGGCTCCGGACATGGCGCACCCCACTTGGGAGCCGCTCCCGCCTGGACTGCGAGTGAAGGAAGAGGCGGCCGAGGGCACCCGGGCGCTGAGCGCCGTGGAGGGAGATCTGGGCGGTCCCAGCGTTCCTGCTGCGATGCTCCACGCGGGGACTGTGCTGCCGCCCGCTAGTTCGGGACGCACGGGCCTCCCGGATCCCACGGTGTTGGGGCCCCGCGCTCCTCCGCGCCCCGCTTTCTCCGCTCACCCCCCACCCCGAGGCCGCGGGCGCCGCAGCTACTCTCCCCCCACACCCCCCGCACCTCGGCCGGTGGCCGTGACCCCGGCAAAGGCCTGCCTACCCGCCCAGCGCCCGACCGCCTGCAGCGCGACCCCTGGCGGCTGGGAGGGCCCCCTGCACCCAAGAGGATTCCCACCACCCTGCCAAGGCGAGACACTGACCCCAGGCGGCCCAGTGATGCTCCTGTCCCGCCCTCGGTCCTATGGCAGATGTGGGGACTGTTATGGTGAAGGCCGGAAGACCTAGACCTGGGACATCCAGGTGACTCCCCCCCACTTCCACGTTTAGAACCAGGCTAGAGCCAGAAGTTCTCAGTTCTCGTTTCTAGAAATGACAACAGCATTGAAAAGAGGAAGAGAGGCCAGGACTGTATAGGATATGAAGCCGAGTAGTGAGGTGGATAAGTGAGGAGTGACACTCCTTTTACCAAGCCAGGTGAGGAAAAGAGAGGCCCAGACCACCAAAGGCTGGCAAACCCACACAGAAAGCAAACCTCTTCAGAATACAGTTGTCTCCCAAGATCTGTTGAGTTAAACTCAAATAAATGGGGTGGAGGAGGTGAGTTCAGACACCAGTGACAGTGAGGAGTGACAGTTTCCTAAGAGCTAGAGCATGGGGTTGGAGGCTTGCACAGGTTCTCTAAACTTAAATGACCAGGGGAGCCAGCTAGACCTACCTGGAGTTCAGAGTTCTTAAATTGTCTGTCTTTGGAAGCCTTAATGCTGGGGCCAGCAGCCCCCAGGAAAGCTGGGGTCATTCTACCAGGAACAGAAGACCTGTGACCTCAGTCAACAGCCATCTCCTCACCCAAGGCCTCAGATTGAGGAAGAATAACTTGTCTGGCCAGTCAGGGTGCCCCATCCCCTGATGCTGTAGCAGAGCCTTAGACAAACATGAGGGCACATGAGGTGACTTCCTGCTGCCATCCATGGAAGCTTGTACCACCCCTAGGACAGGTCCAATATGGGATACAAATGTGAGACTGGAGGCCCTTCCACAAAGCACAATAGTGCTGAAAGGATGAAAAGAGCCCAGCAGAGCCAGGCACACATGTAATCCCAGAACTCGGCAAGAAGGCCAGACAACCATGCATGCCTTCTAGGCCAGCCTGGAATACATAAGATAAACTGCCTTGAAAAACAAACCAAAAGCATGCAATATAAAAGAGGTTATGGCCCAAAACCTCTTTAGGTCCCCAGCCACATACCAAACAGTAGCCAACTATGCCAAAAAGTTTGATAGGATTTTTTATTAACATATAATATATTTAATAAAAAATAATATCCACTCTGACTCTCTCCTCCATTGCAAGGAGAAGAGTGGTAAGGAGGGGCTGGCACTGCCCACTTTTAGGCATCTAGACAAGCCCTGCCTCCAGGATTCCTCTCTACTCCCTGCTTTCCAACAGGCTCTGACCTCCAGACAGACGGCTTCAAAGTTACAAGTGCGTTAGGCCCTCCCTTCTGTTCCCCCAGGCCCATCTGTTCTACAGCATTCAGGGGCCACCAGGACAAGCCCCTTGCCTTTTCTCAGTTTTAGGATCCTTCATTCATGTTAGAAAGAGGATCTGGGGGGCAGAGAATGGAGTCTCTACTGGCCAGGGAAAAGGAAGGAAAGGGACAGTGACGAGGGATAGGGCCATGAGGAGGATGGTGGTGAGATCCTCTCACTGTAGCCGGTCACTACGGAATGAATCCTCCACAGCAGGGTCCGGCAGCAGAGCACAAGGGTCACTCAACATGGTTAGTCCCTCCAGGCCCAGTGGCTCCATGCGCAGTTCATCTTCCAGCCCCAGCCCTAGCTCCAACCCAGCTGTTGACACCTCAAAGCCAGGTACTCCAGCCAGGGCTGCTGCAATCTCCTTAGAGAAACCTGGGGAGGAGTCTCCTGTGTATAGAAAAGATGGGTGAAGACCTCATGCCACACAAAATCTCTCCAAACCCCTCAATTTCCTACTATATCAGTAAAGGCAGCACTCCTTCCTTCCAATCTCTATTACCATCCACATCCCCTCACCTGTGAGGATGATGTTAGGTCCTGAGCCATGGCGGGAACAGTGGGTCAAGTTCTGGTGGTTGAGGACGTGAGGGTCCTGGGGGCCACCCACTGATCCCTCACCCCCTAAAAATCCAGGCCCTTCGGAAAAGCCAGAGGGATCCAGCCCCAGGCTGGCTGATGGGCTCTCCATGTTGAACTGCTCCAGCTAGGGACATACAGACAGACCTTGAGGAAGTGGGCTTTAGAACAGGGTGTTTGTGCCTGCTCCTACCTAGCTCTGCTCACATGTCCCCTATGCTTGGCAAGTTCTATCCACCCCAGGGAAGAAAGGCAAAGACAGAGGGAGGTGACAGCAAGCAGAGCAACAGAAGCGAGCACGGGGCCCGTAGTAAGTGTGGGCACCGTACCTGCTGGGCCAGAGCATGTGCATGCCAGGAAGAGAACGGGTCAAGGCAGGAGTCATCAAAGAGCAAGCTGAGCAGAAACAGAGGGGCAGGAGTAGGGGTCAAACACAGGAAGACAGGAGCCCCAAGCTAGCAATACTATGTTACCTGGGGGGGAAGGGAGATCCCTCTCCATATCCCCCAATTCAAAATGTACCAGAAACCACTCAGGCACCTGACCCACCCTCAGCCCCTCCCTGCTTCAGAGCTGGGAATCTGTACTCACATTCCCCAGGCTGAAGTCATTCACTGGCCGGTGGTAAGGCTGCTGCCCATGCCCACTGGACCCAGGTGGGTACAGTGCCCCATAATGTGGCTGCCTGCCTGGAGGTTGTCCTCCTGAGGGCTGCACTAAGCAGGCCTGAGAGGGCAGCCCTGGCTGCTGTAGAGACTTTGGGGTGGGTTGCTGGGTGGGTAGAACCAGACTTGGGGGGCTGTATGGGTATGGGGGCAGCCGCTGGTCAGTAGGCAGTTTACTGGTATCCAAGGGGACGCCCTGAAAAAAAACAAGGAAAAAAGGGAGTCTTATCTTTCAGTGTGATCCTTTCCCCACACTCTCTATGCTTCACCCTTCAATATAATCCCAGCACTTAGGAGTTGAGGCAGGAGGAATTGCAATTTACATTTGGGTCAGACTGGCTAAAAATGAGTCCTTTCCCCCTCACCACCCCAAAAAAGACAACAATCTATGTTCCCATGGGCATTGCTGGGGTTGGTGGGAGTTATACAAATATGAATAGCAGAATCTAAGTGCTAAGTGAGGCTGACAAGAGATTAATTCTGAATCCATTCCAAAAGTAATTGTTCCTAAACCTCAGTACTTAACTATTAGTAACTGAGTACTTGTGACACCTCACAAATGACTGGTATTGTTCCAGTTAGGATGAGTGCTGCTATTCCTAAGCCTTGAAGGAGCCAGAGGGAATGGGAGAGGAAGGAAAGAAAGAGAGGAGGAGGCAAGCTGCCCTCACTCCACACTTGGGGAACAGAGTGCTTACTGGCATGGATAGTCTTCCCTACAGGAGAGGTAAAGATGGAACATGAAACATACATTCAGGGAATAGTAATGGAGGACAGAGGACAGCGGCGAGGAGGAAAAAAAAAAAAGAGCACTGGGATGAGCAAAAGGGGAAGAGAGGATTTAAAAAGAGAAGAAGCCGGGCGTGGTGGCGCAC